CCTCCTCCTTCCTCTGATCCTCCTTCTCTCTCCTTCTCGATCCGCTTCCGGTTCGAGCAAGGTATCCTTCGACTTTCTCGATCGGCGATCACCACCACCGATTCGGTCACGTTCGCTTCTAATCCTATCGGTAGCACGACTCGGATGAGAAACGGTGCCGACCGCCGAACCGATCGCGATACTGTTACTATTACGATCCGAATAAACGGGATGCTCAGTGTCCGTACAAGGAGGAGTAATCCTCGTTTCCGAGCAACGATACAGAGATAAGAGGGCGTGACGACCACGACAGGAACCTGTTGAGAAGGTAAAATTCGAGTGGGACGGTGACGACGACGATGGCGATGACGACGACGACGACGACGACGGCGACAGGGAAAAGGCATTCTCGCCTAAACCCCCCATTACCAACTACCCGGTGCCGCTGTTTCAGGATCGATCTCACCCGCAAGATGGACCGCCGTAACCGGGTACACCCTGCTCGCGTTTTCGGCCATTCGCGCTTTCGTTTCCACCGATTGCACGTCCACGGGTACGCGCCTCTAATTAAATATCTTTCTTTTTTATTTTCGTCCCCTTGCTTTTCCTCTTTTTCCTTTTTTCTCCTTCCCTCTTCTTCTTCTTCTTCTTCTTCTTCTTCTTCTTTTTCTTCTTCCTCTTCTTCTACCTCGTGACCTTTCCTCTAGCCTCTTCTGGATCTTCTTTCTACTCTTTTGCACGTGTAGTTATTCTGTATCTTCATTAGCGTGTTACAACAACCTTATCTTAATTTTTCGCTTCTTCCCTTTCTTCCGATTCTCCAAAGACCGACTTCGACTATTCGACTACTCGACTGATTTTTACATGGGACACGAAATCGTTGACCCGAATCCCTCGATACGACAGTACGATCGTATATTGTTCTAACGGGAGGTCGATCTTCAAAATCGCCCACTAAGGTCTTCTAGACTTTCTCGGACACTTTCTATGCGTACCTAATGTTTCACTACGGCTAAGGTCCTCGGAATGATGCACCATTTAAAGGCTTGAAACGACAGCACGTACAACGAGCGGCATTTGAGCCGATTTCTAAGTAGAAAGCCTTTCGATGATCGACGAACGGTTCTCCGGATCGAGTCCCTTGCGATCTACGCGTTGTCTTCTCCTCTCTTTCACTCGCCTAATGTCTCTTTATTGTCCGTGGAAAATCGGCTGCGATTCTGACCGAAGCGTGCTCCAGACATGTCCTTTTGGAATTGTCAAATTCCTCGCGCACATCCTTTTCGATCTATGCGATCAGATTGAAAATTCGAGACAAGGTGGTCGGCGTTTTAGCGAGAATCAACGAAAATTCTATTTAACTAATCGACAAACTACAGCGATCGGCCTTTACTTTTCTCGTATTCTCTTACTTCTCCTACTTAGGTTCCCTTTCTTTCCTCTCTTTTGCTTTGCTCGCCGGTATCATCCACGATAACGACGAAACGCCAAAGGATCCCTATAACGACCGAGGCACGCTTGTC